GAACAACTCGGGTCAACATCTATATAGAAAGAGAAGTGTACTTTTTTCTCGTTCTCAAGGCCCGCGCTCGTAGGCCCAAGCAAACTAGGCAATGGCCTAGGGCTCCTAATCCTAAAGGGCCATTAAATGGAAGATAGAATTCTTTTGGATTGTACCAAGTTTTCGTTTAAAATATAAATATACTATTTTAATTAGTTTTTATGCTAGAAAATAAATTACATTTAAGGGCCTCGTAATAACAAGTCTCTTAAGGCCTCAAAATTCTCATGGACCGGCCATGCTTGTTCCTTTGGACCGAATTCTAGTACCCTAAATTGAGTTCTATGATTAAATTTGGTCTTGATGCCCATTCACTCATGCAAGACACCGGTATATACTATTAATACACAATATCTACAGCGATAAAATTTTCCCTAGAATGCTTAATTCCATATATTCACCTACTGGTGAGTACAAACTCATTAATTTGATAAGCTAGCTAGGAAACATGGACTCATAAAAAATTGAAAATAATAGAATTCCACCTTACCATGCTAACGACTATTGAGTAACTCTAAAGAAAGATTTCTTTGGACTAGGTTCCGTCCTCGTGCATACAAAGTTGCTCAAAGAACCGAATTTAATAGCTTCAAGGTGAAGTCATGGCCAACATCTCATCCATCGCAGAGCTGGTAGATTTCACATTCTAAATCAAAGTAAATCTCTGCACCAATGATTTCACAACTTTTAACGAAAGAACGATGCATGACATGAGTCATTACACGATTATGATCGGGTGTGTTATGCTTTGATTACTTTTTAGTTTTTCAAGATCTTTTGGAATTAAATTAGGTTAGTGCTTATCACTTCTGGAAGATAATCTTTTGCCACCACTAGAAGATCGAATTCACAACCATAAAAAACTCTCTCCGAAAATGGCTTATAGCTTTTGGCTCAAGACGGTTGGACCCTCATGGATCGACTCCATCATGGAATACCTGACCCATTTTGCGAGGATGTAATTAAAGTGATTGATATAATATTGTTTCAGTAAATTATATATTTGAGAGTGCAGTCTCACTCCTTTAATGGAGTGAGTGTGCACAAATATTTGTATTAATCATTTGTGAATTAGATTGAATGTAATATAATTATCGAATCTCGAATTATATCACTCTGACTGGATCTCTTTGTTAGCTCTACAAAAAAGTTTTGAATTTAATTGCATTAATTATTAATGAAAGTTTACGGACCACCCATGAAAAAATTGCCAAAAATAGGTTTCGTAAACAAAATAGGACAATGAGGAAAAATCTTAAGACCTAGGAATCGGTCGACTAGGGCATCTAAATAGCTCAGGTCGACACCTACAGAGAGAGAAAAGGGCGTTGTTCTTGCAATCCCGCTACAGTGCTCGAATTTTTTTGACAGAGGGGGTGACCGACTCTCACAATAGTGGGGGCCTCACTTTTTTTTGGACTTTTTTATTCACGCAGACCTACAGCATACAAGAAAATGTCAACCATTCATGCAAAAAAATTCGGACAACGTAGCAAAATTCTTGTTCATGTTCCTTTGGACCAAATTCCAGTCTCCTAAATTTGGACTCTTGATGCTCATTTTTTTTCTTTTGAGGAAATTACGTCTATACAGGTGTTTAAAGATTGGAGTTCAATTATAAAGTTTAAAGTTAACTTATTCAAAAATCAGGTTTTCAATATGTATAACCCAACCTACCCAATTAAAACCCTAGGTTATTTTCTCCCAATTCTTCCCCTCTTCTCTCTATCTCTCCGTCTCTCAATCTTCTCTCGTCTCCAAGGCTGTTGTCGCTAGATCAAACGAAGCTCGTCATAGTGAATGGCATTCTCACTCTTCTCTCTCTCTCTCTCTCTCTCCACATGGCCGTAGTCGCCAGATCACAGCGAAGCTAATCGCTATGAGCACCAAGCGGCGCTCTCCGTGCACGATGACCACGAACAACACAACGTTGTTGCAGCGCTGATCGATGGTGGTGTTCATTTTTTGTTATTGTTTTGATGTTAGTTGTGGGTGATTTTACTTGTTTTCGGTATGGTGGTTGTGGTGGTAAGGTAGTAGTGGTGTTGGTGCCTTGGTGGTTGTTGAGTGGTGGTGTTGCGGCCATTGCAGCAACTTCTTATGTAGCATCGCTATCGAGACTGTGGAAGGGAAAGTCTTGGCTGCTGAGGGCATGATGAGATGGTGATGGTGGCGACTATGGTGGTGGCAGGGGCAGTGGTGGTAGTGTGGGTTCAAATCTGAGTGGTGGTGGTCGTGATACTGGTGAGGTGGTGATATTGGTAGCAGTGGTGTTGTATTATTGTTATTGTTATTGTTATCGTTGGTGGTGGTCGTGACAGTGGCGATGGAGTTGGTGGTACATCTACAAGATAGGACGAAGAGTGTCTGTGACCAACTATTTGGTCGATTTTTGATCAAATATTGGCAGTGAATCGGGATCGAGATTGGGAGTTTGGGTGTACGTGACTAATTATTTAGTTATTTGTGGTTAAGTATTAAAGTGTGACCTTAAATTTCGATAATTTGTGACCAAAAAAAATATGTAACCAATAAATTAAAAAATGTTACCCAATAGATAAATCGTGACAAATATATTTTTTAATTTGTGACCAATTAAATAAATTGTGACCTATAAAATTTTTGATTTGTGTCTTCGAAATAATTTGTGATCAATTAATTTGATAATATGTGACAAATAAATAAGCAGTGACTTGTAATTATGTATATGTGACCAATAATTATATAATTGAGAGTTTTTTTTTTTTTGGCTTAATTAATTATCTCGTACCTGAGTTTTGTATTTTCAAACTATGCACTTGATTTGTGATTTGGTATAAACTAAATTACTTAGTTATAATTTTTTCCCTTTTCTTTTTTTTCACATTTTCCAATGATGTCGCGCTATGTCAGCTTCAGTATAAGTTCTGTTAAATTTGTTTTTTTATAGTCATGGCTTTATCCAGTGAGATTAATTAGAAATATTATAAATTGAATATAATTATTTAGACACCTGGACTTGTAATTTTTTTTTATAAAAAAATTGCAATTCATATTTCCTTCAATCCTATTTTCAACATGTCAAACATGATGATTTTGTAATGTTATTCAACCAAAATAGTTGTTCTTATAAAAAAAAACACCCTTATACGACAAAAGCATATCGTGAACAATATTGGCATCGCTTTTTATTTTTACTTAGAAACAGATTCAATATTCATTACTAACGAGATAAATATTATAAATTCAATGATCAAATATCAACAATTTAAAGTTCAATGAACCATCTGCAAACACGTCGACAAACTAGGTTTTTTTACTCTTTCGATAAATATAAACATTTCAAATATTTAGATATTAAAAAAAATTGACAAAAAATGGTTACATTTTGAAAATTCTCATCGATGATTCTGATTCTTAAGAAACTAGAATCTAGCCATCCAAATTCATCTCTAGTGTGCATGTGTGTGTGTGTGTATATATTTTTTTTTATTTTTTTTCCGATCTTTTAATTTTAATTTCAGGATTTTTTTTATTTTTTTCGGGTTTGATTCTTTTTTTTTCTTTTTTCAAATTTCATGTAATTTCCACTTTAATATTCTTTATCTTTTATATATTAATATTTGAAAAACAATCTACATTGTAAATATATATATTTTTCACTCTTGAATCACTAAATTTATGCCTTCTTACTATATACGCAAAAGGAAAATTCTTCAAATACAAGATTTTTTTCACAAATGTTCCAAAAACTATTTTTGGCAATAGCCGATTACTCCCTACACAAAATCTATGGAAAAATCCTGTACTTGCATGTTTCATCCAGAAAATTCCTTTTGAAAATTTTTCATATAATCCAATATCTGAATCTCAAACTCTACTTCGTCAACCACTACTGTTTCAGCAAGGATTTTCATCTACATTTCTTCTGCCTTTTTGTTTACATTTCAGAAATTTACCAGAACAAAAACACAAAGTAACAATATGATTCCATTATCCACCAATATGATAAATTTAGTTCAGTATTGTTTTGTCCAATCTACCTGCAAAAGCAAAATGTTGGCTTTTACATTTTTTAAAAGGAACACCTGATTGAGTAACTCGTAATACCCTTTGGTGCGAATTTGGTACATAGTATTAAAGACAAGGATTTAACTGTATAATCCTAATAGTTTAAGCTAGCTACTAATTTTCTGACCCAATTCTGTTAGCATGAATGGGGAGAGACTTTCAAGTCCTACTTGGTATCAATTTGCACCCTTCAAAGATGCATTGCATTCACATTATATTTGCATGTAGAATAGTTGTGGTACATAGACTTCAATTTTCCTTCTGTAAGGGCATAGAAAAATATGCATCCAACTTCTTTTTGTGCATATTGACTTGAAGGGTGGCGAGGTAACAGAGTGGAAAGAGAATCAGAAAGAAAAAGAATGCTATATTTTCAAATGATGTATTTATCTACAATGTTCTATTCAAAACCTTCATATACTGTTGTTGAATTGTTCCACGTCATCCTCTGCTAGATTAAAGTGGCGGAGAGAATCAATACTGAAACAGTACACAAAAAGCACAGAATTAAGGATGGTTTTACTTAAAAATAAGAAGAATATTGTATTCAAACATTTTTGAAGAAAATAAGATAATTAGAAGTTAAAAAATGTTTACTTTTTTTAAGCTAAGCCAAAAATGCTTTAAAAGATTTAGAAACCATTTTCATTCAAAAGCAGAAGCTCTGTTACCTGCAGCTTTCAGGAACCCTCCATGATGAATGTGATGATTTCTGACTGGGTGGCAATGACATGAACAATTTCCAATCTTCAAGTAAAATTCTGAGGTCATGAAGTTTGCTCTCCAATCCGAAACAACAGTTTGCATGCATAGTACAAACTCGATTCAAGTCTTTACTGGGTTCACAAAACCCACCAAAGTAAGCAGTATCCAAGAATCTCATTTTCAGCCCAATTTCTCTAATGAAGGAATCATTCTTGATTCTATTGAGAACATCCTGATCGTGTAATCCAGGATATGTCTCTCGTGAAGAGTACCAGAACTTGTAGAACTCTATGGAACGGTTGTTTGACCTTACAAATTTGAATCCTCCATTTGGTGTATTTCTTATATCACTGGAGTCGCCCAAGAAATGATCACATGCTATCTGAAAGTCCGCGTTTGGATGGAAGTGGGGAAACGGATCTCTGAACCACATAATATCAGCATCCTACAATTAGGAAATTAATGCATGAGTGAGCTCACAGTAATACACAAGCGAGACTATGTAAGCACCCTGCAATTACCAAGTGTTGATTGATTCATGGCTATTAATGACTTCATCAGTAAACATACACTAGTAGAATGTCACATTATGCACGAGAAACATGGTAGACGATACACAAGCATAAATCCAATGTAAGACAAAAGTAAGAACATACAAGTAAAATTTTAGGTCTGCAAATAACGAAATCATCCAAAGAGCCCAGTGGCTTTTGTATGAAACCTAAACAATGCTAACAGAAATAACCAGTAGTTCACCACAGGGTATCCTAAAGTACACAAGACATTACTGCCAATGATAAATTTACTTGGCACGAAAAAATTAAACAGGTTACATAAATACAAATACGATCACTCAGCAGCCAGATCACTTCAACTTTTTCTCATCTTAATCATTCTTTCTTTTTGGTTTTGTATTTTATATTATTTACTGAATTATTTAAGAGTGGGGGCGAGGGAGAAACAGTTCGTAGGCTTTATCTTCCGGTCGGTTCATATGGTTTGAAATAATAAATGAATGAAAACACAGTCTTTTCTGTTCCCATTTCTATACTTGCAATATCTTTCAGCTAACTTCTTTCCAGATACTGAAGCAAGCAAACACAAGCACAACCATAAAGTTTGCTATAAGAAGCCATGTGGCCTAAGATTAGCTTCTACTATGCAGGGAGGAATCTAAGTATTTTAGTTTTGATAGCAGTTTCATTAGTCAAACATAGAACATTGAAAATTGTTCAATAAAAACATTTTGGTAATGTATTTTACCTTCTCGCTCCACACAGTTCCTGCAGGTTATATGGGTGACTCTTGTTATGTTGTCATTGAAAAATCTAACAATTACTGATCATGGATAACAGCAAGAGGGGCCGAGGGTCATGAATCCTGTGTTTCCTTTCAAAGCCACAGAAGGAGTAAAAATTTTGTCAATAAAATAATTGTTGGTGATTTATTTGACTTTTGGACTGATACGACGGCCATAGATTTAGCTCATTGAGATCCAAAGTCTTAACTGCTTCTATAATTGTCCCTACAACCAATAATAGAAATAGAATAGCATGTAGTATTTAACAACTTTCTGTGAGTTTGAATCAGACAGTCATAATCAGATATTACCTCTGGAAATTGACTTTGCAGACAATATAGACAGAAATTTTATACTCAATAATCTTCGAAGCTAGATACAGTTTCAGTTCATCACTGTCGTGTCTTAATTCTTCAACCAATTTGAGGAGACATGCCAATAAGTGGAGGTGGTACCAATTGAGGATAAATTAAGGGAATGACACTTTTGGTGGTATGAACTTATCCTATATAGAGATAAATAACTCACTGTAAAAAGAGGTACATAATCCTAGTAGAATGGGTAGATGAGAGAGCAGCAGTGGAAAAGTAAATTGGTGTGACATGGTAGCAAAGGATTTAAATTTTTTCTTTTTTTTCTAGACGAACCAAGAATAAAAATGGAGTCATACAGCCAGCCCATTTTATTGGGTGTAATTATTGTTGTTGACTCTTCAATCACTGTAATCAATAAATTAAGGTTACCCTGTTTGTAACACCGTATTGCTATTAGGCTCAAAACCAAAAGGGCACCCTAATCAGGATTCATAATCTAGAGGGCCACAAAAGACCTGGATCATAAACTTAATAAATTAACGTGTAGGCTAAACGAATGTGATTGCTGATTGGAATTTTAATAAAATCCACAAAATATATCATAACTGGAGTATATAAGACATATATTTGAGGCCTGACTTCTTTCTCTCCTGTTTTGTAATTAGTTCAACACTAATGGGAAATATCACCAGACACCATGAATTGAGTTCAACAACATCCATGATCGTGCAAGGGAAGTACTTCCCATGAGTCTTGTGAATCTTTGGCTCAAAAAAGTCTCTCTAATTTCATATTTTAACAGCATAAGCAAACATGTACTGCTTTGGTCATACAATATTGATGCACAACTCCAAAAGAGGCAGGATGATTAGGAAATAAAATATGCAGAGGTAAAGCAGAATGTTCTTGGAATTCACAAAGCTATATTTCTGAAATTTCTTATTGCACCCTATAATATTGATATCAACTTAAGAAGTTGACCAAAATTGGTTACAGAAATGCACTTATCTTTTCAAAAAAAAAAAAAACTGGGTTACTGAAATGTAGATAGATGCTAGGCTACTTAAAGTTAGGTAAACATAAACACATTCTGACAACCACAAAGTCACTTAAATCAACTTAAATAGGTAAAATGTGATGATTCTTAGGCTTAAAAACATTAATTTTACAATTATTAAAAAATACATCCATTCTCATGCAATGCATGCATGTATTGCTAGAAATAACATTAAGTGGGATGGAGGGAGACTATACCGTGAAAATAAAATTGTATCCCATTTCAAGAACAGACTGTAGGAAATTGATCCTTCTCCACATCATCTTCAAGTAGTCATGTGTCATAAAATAAGCTTCACTTGAGAAGTCGACCCCTTCAGTTACAAGGGCATAACAATGCGTGTGAACAAGCAGACAACGAGAAAATGCTTTTTGATCTAGAGAAATGATCACCAAATGATTTAATAAACTGCGGGTGTGCACTCCAGTTCTGAAACTCTCAAGAAAGAGATCCACTACTGAACCTGGAACAGCCCATGCTTCATTCAATGTTGTCAAGATCACTGTACTATCTTGCATTGAGGCATCCTTCAAAACTCTTTCAAGACTATACTCCTCACTGTCCTGTAGCAGTAATAAATTCAGTACAGAAAGAACCAAATGCAACTGTTCTCTGATCTTCTCTTTATTAAAAAACATATAAATAAACTCATACACGTAAAGAAATAAAAACTAATTGCATCATGCTAAAACTGGCCAAAAACTAAAGACCAATGAGGCAGCATAACAAACAATAGAAGATCTATTATCTGATGCCAGACTAGGCATGCTTTTAACTTGCATCATAAAGGTCTATCAAAAACCATAGCTGAATCAGCACCATTCGATCTATAGCTTCTAACATGGAGGCTCCTTGAAAGAAATCCAAACTTCACCTCGAATAGAAATGGGATGAAGTACTTAAAATTGTGCTTCAATAAAATCTGGAAAGCAAAACACACACACATATATATATATATGAACCCTGCTACACTTACAGGGGTCTATTAACAAACCCTCTGCCAGAATACTCACAGTCGCGAGCCCCCGTGTATTTTTTTTTTTTTTTTTCATGTGGAACCGACCCCTACAATGAGAGGTCGGTAAGTCCCTTGTAAGAAATTGCTCTGTTTCCTATATATATGTATGGGAAAATGATCTCCTAACCACCAATGCTTAACTTATGTTAAGCACCGATAACATGACACATTATTTAATTGGTTAATTATTTAATATATGGGATCTATCATTAATTCATTCACCAATTAAATGATGTGTCATATTACTAATATTTAACATAAGCTAAGCATCGGTGTTTAGGAAATCTACCCTGTATATATCTATAATATATTAAAATATCACATCAAGGAAGAATAATTTTTTGGACGATTTTAAACCCCTTCATAATTCAATTATTTCAATAATACCTTACTTTTTATTTTTCGACATGTAATAAATACTACATAATTATTGTCATTTATGAAATTTGTGTTGTTAATTCTCAATTAATTAACATTCACATTAAACTAGATTCAATGAATTTTCACTTGGCGAATGTTGAATTACATGAATCTAGAGTTGTTATAGATGAATTTATTTATATTCATGTATCCAAAAATTTTAATGGGTGTTTAAATTTATGTATTAACAATTAATTTTATATATCAAATGTAATATAAAAAGATTACTCATTTATAGTATTTCATCATTATAAAAAATTTGAATTATAGAAATTGAGTTTTGAGAGTACAATTTTCATCCTCTTAAATTTCTATGTGAAATTTTATTTTCTTTAATTCGTCCGAGACTCATCAAATCCTCCAACAAATTGATACCAAATATTACTTTTACATCACTTATAAAGTATTTTAAAATAACGTGCAATGCATGTTCAACTTCGACTAGTTTATTCAAATGCAGTAAAAGGATTCTAACCTAAATCTATGGACCCCCCCTCTTTCTCCGTGCCATTTCCATATTCCCAATGCCTTGGGCCCCAAAACTGAACAAATGCAAGCAAAGGGAAACAAGATTGACTTGAGCCAAGTGACTGACTGACCGTGTGAAGTGGGAATGTGGTTCCAATTTTTGGCTTTGAAAGGATCAAAAGAGGCAGTGATCAACACTTTGAAACGAAGAATGAAGCCTTGTAGCTTAACTTCAAGTTACAGAAGGTGGTTGGCATTTTTGTTTTCTCATTGCTTCACTCAAAAAACAAGCTTATTTCTAGATTTTCTTCTTTAAGTTTAGACCACCTCAAGGCAGGGTTCTATTGACGTGAAAAAATGGGACAAACTTATGAGTGGAAGATTAACTTCTAGTATATGAGAAAAAAATGGTGAAACTAACTAGTCTAGAAGATTAGGAGCTAAACAAAATAAGACCCTACTCTAAATCTCGTGTGACATATTCAAGCTGCAAGTTATCATAATGTCAAGTCATAAATTTCGTTGGCTCTTTATCACTGGCCTGGCTGTCCTCTTTGAAATAAACTACAAAATGGAGCGTTGGGGAAATCACATCCTTTATCAAGATATTCATTCACATAACTAAATCCTTCCCTTACATATTGTAATTAGAATGAAGTAAGAATATAAGATGTCTGATCAGCTGTAACTATGGAGTTTCTCAGCCTAGATAAACTGAAAGGCGGATCATCTACGCGGTTCACTGTGCAATCTTCAAGTCCCATGTTGTTAGTGTCCTCATCAATACGTTATTGAACTGTCTCACTTTTCCCCACACCCTTTAATGATATAGAATAACCACGTGCCTGTCTGAAATCACTCCATGCCTCCATAGATTGCTTTGTTGCCCAATTTTAGTTTCCCAGAAGGATGATTTAAAACAGTCCAGGAGTCCTTCCTGCACAAACTTCTCCAACACAAGTTTCAATTGGCAACTCATTTCGACATTGAAAATTCTAAAATGGTCAATTAGCCGAACTTTTACATCTATTTCTGAACTTTTACATCTATTGCTCCCAAGTCACAAAAGTTGAAATTAAAATTATCATCATTTTAGCCACTTCATGTGTTTTTTTTTTCATAAGTCTCAATATTAACCACTTCATGTGTTGTTCTTGTCATATGTCTCGAATCACCATAGATCTATGCACTTTACATCAATATATTTTTCTTTTTTTTTTACTTCGTTTAAGAATACTTATTAAAAAAGATTAAAGAAACGACAGGCCCCGGCATCCCACCTAGCTCGGCAGGGCTGTTTTACACCTCTAGCCACCATGTTTGTCAGCCTAACTGAATATTATACCTTGTTACTTTGGCATGTCATTCATTCATTTGCAAAATTTTCCTGGTGGATTCTATTGGTAAGTGGAATATATTTTAGTAATTGTGGCAAATAAAATTAACAAAATGACATTTCTACATCATTAAATCGACACCACAGGGTATCAGAACTAACTCTTTCTCATGTAAAAGAAACGTGAATAACAAAAAGTACAAAAAGCATTATGTCTTGTTTGATGAATTAAATTGATAATTATCAGTAATCCACGGTTAAGTGCAAAGAGCTTGAACAATAATATTGGTTAAGTAAAATAGGAACACTTACCGAGTCAGAGGAATCGTCGTCAGGAGGAAACAAGGGGACAATGTGAGGATCACGAGGGCCGTAGTCGTGGAAGGGGATTCGGAACTCTGCGGAGTCAGAAGCTATGTAAATGACGTAACAAGGTAAAGCAACCGCGGCGAGGATGACCGCAGCAGTGATCGCTAGGCGGAAGACGGCGGCGTTTGTGGAGAAATTTGTTAGCATTATTGTGATTTTGAATATATTTCAGCGGAAAACGGCAAAGAAGGTGTAGCGGAGATAGTATTCATGATCTCGCCGTTGGCAATGTTTCCGGTAAGAGATTGCGTTCAGTTACAGAGCGAGAGATTTATTACTAGTGCGGGGTCTGGGTAATAAGTAATAAATTATTGGAGGGTCAAATACACATTTGGTCCTTAAATTTACAAGAAAAGTACATGTTAGTCCTAAATTTTTATTTTATTTCAAATCAGTCACTATAGTTATTTAGCAATTTCAATTTGATCACTGTGTCAATAAGATTTACGTCAAAATATACATATCCACCATTAACCGCTATGTACCAGCAAGACATCAATCCATAGTTCATAATTGTGTAAGCTTTAATCATGTTTAAAATGAAATGACAAAATGTTCAACCCCTCCCTAATTAAAATTTGATTTCAATACTCCAAAATTTAAGATTGTGCCTGATAATATTTAATTTATAATTAAACTAGTCAAACATGTTTTTTATTTAATAATTATTGAGATTAATATATCCACTTATTAAATACGCATTATGTAGTAACACATTTTTATAGCACTAACAAGCACAAATGCTCTGTTTCTGAGTTTTATGATAGTGATTTGGTTGACAATTTGCAATTAAAAAGTAATGAAAATTTTTGAATTTATAAATTATTTTATTGAAAAAATGTATGATAAAAAGTTGGGGGTCCACTAGAGGTTAAATAGACCAAATGTGAAATTAATAAAGGGAAAAATCGAAAAATGGATTCCAAGGTTTTGTCATGCCATATTTAACAACATAGAGATTTCCGAGACAACTAAATAACTTCGTGTTAGTACATAAAAGCCTATGGTGTACACAAGATTTCACGTTAATCAAACTAACAAGTGATCAAATTGAAACTATTAGGAACCTTATTGACTGATTTGGAAGGAAAAAAACCTTAAGGACTAATTTTAAATTTTATCGCAGCGAGGACCAAATATTTAATTAATTATATTGGTCGGCTCGGATTCTCCCAACATGGTTGAAAGCGGAACGTGTGATGTGATCTAACTTGGAATCCTATTATTTAATGGATTAAAGCCCAAGCATGCAATCTAACCTATAAGCTAAATTTCTTGGCCCCTAGCCACTCATGAGGTGGTCAAATTGGTGGAGTAGGTGAGCGCGAAAATCTTTAATCATGAGTTAGATTTTCCCTACCAAACACTTTCTCGAAAAAACCTGTCGTATAAGGCTTGTCTAGTGCGATTTACCTGACTAACGTGGTTGGCAGGCTATTGCGTCAATCCGAGGATTTATCAAGTTCGCACCTAAATGGTAGCGGCTGCAAATTTCTCCATCATAAAAATAAAAAAAAAAAATAAAAAAAAAATTATTGGCACCTCATTTTTTAAGTCGCATGAAAATTTTTAATAAAAGTAAATGAAATGTATTATTGAAAAGTTACAGATTCCATGAAACATATAATTAAAACTAAATATTGATTTTAACTTAAGTTAAATTTTCGATTTTAATCCCTTTCAAATAGGGACATAGTATAATTTTCATAAATTAATATTCGATAAACTAATACCATTCATATTATAATTAATAATTTGCCAATAATTACAAATATATTTAACTGTGATATTTAATAAAAATATGACTTTTTATTACTTATTTTTTCTTAAAATTTAAATCTAGTTGGCCCTCATTTCTTATCTAGAACTTTTTGGTATAGAATTCTTGAAATGCAATAAAATTATGAAGCATCGTTAATGCTTTGAGTGCCTCCTTGTTCGTAAC